TTAGCCATTATTTTTTAATTTATTTGTTTAATTAACATGTGAGCTTCAATTTTATTTATGTTTTGCTCTGTATTCAACTAATTATTTATTTATTGCTACCATAATATATGCTATTATGCATTGCCTACTCATGTTTAAGAAAACAAATCTCAAAAAATGAGAAAATGCACTTACATTAGGCTTTAGTTGTATGAACATAGAGATTGCACTAATGAAAGAACAATTTCCACCTATCATAGGGGACACATCCTTCATTGGTATAAAGGATTTTGAGAGGTGAAATTTGTTCAAATTGCATGAGTCTAGTGGTCATTAAACACAACATTTTAGAAGTCTTTAGGGGCACATAATATGAAAAGATTACTAAGGCTAATGGTTTCCTTGATGAAATTGAGAAATATTTTCCTAAAAATATTAAGGTTTAAATGACATCATTTTTACTTATTTGACGTCTATAAAGTATAAGAGTTAAGGAAATATGAGAGAGTGCGTTATGGAAATGTTCATATTGCTTCAAGACTTAAGACAATTAAGATTGAGTTCTTCTGAAGAATTACTTGTTCTTGTGATTTCAGTATCGCTTCCTATAGTTTAATAAACTAAAAGGGAGAAATGAACTTTAGATGAACTCATTTTTCATTTTGTGCAAGAGGAAAAAATTTTGAAACATAATAAGTTTGAAAGTACTCACTTGAAAAGTTTATATAAAGATAAATGCAAAAATAAAACTAGAATGTAGTTGTTAAGGGTCCAACTCAAAAGAGAAAAATAAATTACAAAGGCATGTTCTCTTTTGTAATAAGTTAAAACATATGAGGAGAAATTAAAATCTAAAATTATAAGCAACTACATTGGTTATTATGCATGATTTAGGGGTTACAAGTTTTATGATCTCATAATATGAATATTTTTAAGATGAGATCTATAACATTATTTTTTAGTATGTTGATTTTGGAGGGAGAAATAAGGTCTGAGAAATTGATTCTGAGGAGGAATTACATTATAACTCAATTCCTATTATCACTTTTGATGATATTTATGTGTTCATACATGTCATTAATCAAGAAGTGAATCTAGGATCTCAATAAGGTTATTTTGAATAGCTCTCCATTTAAGATGAGAAATTATTTTAGAAGAACAAACTCAACAACCTCTGAGAACAAGTGTCATTAAAATGATCCACAAGATGAGAGAAATAATATTTATATTATTATGTTGTATTTCATCAAGAACTAAGGATGTCATTGAAATTATGGAGGATGATTTAATCAACTTTCGTCATGTTGTAAAAGTTTTGACTCTCATAAGTGGATTAATGTCATGAAATAAGAGTATAAATTCTATACAAAATAATAAAGTTTAAGAATTTGTCTCATTACCTGAAGATGCAAAACTAATTGATTACAAATGAATATTTAAAATCAAAATGGATGCAAAGGTGATGTTGATAGGTATAAGGCATGTCTTGTATCTGAAGAATATACTCATAAAGAATGTATTAATTTTATAGAGACTTTCTCTTTGATTTCATTGGAAGACTCTTTCATGATAATTATGATACTTGTTTCTAATATTTAATCTTGAGTTACATAAGTTGGATTTCAAAATGTAACATTGATGAGAAGTTTTATAAGGTGCAATTAGAAAATCATGTCTGATGATACAAAATTAATGATATGCAAATTAGGGAAATCTATTTATGAGTTTAAGTATGACTCATGTTAATTGTATAATAAATTTCTCCAAGTGATTATCTCATTTGGTTTTGATATGAATTTGGTTCATAATTGTATATACTATAAGTTCAGTGGGAGTAAACCAAATAATACATCTTATTGCTAAAGGAAACAAGTTTAGTTTTGATCAGTGTCCTAAGGATGATTTTGAAACTAAGAAAACTCATAAATGTTCCTTGTACTTCAAAATAAATAAAGAATTTCATAAATATACTCAGGTTTATATGCATTCAAACATAGCATATGATTTTAAGATGTTAAACATTTATTTAAGCAATTTAGGTATGGCTCGTTGGATAGCAGAGAAGTTGATTCATACGATACATTTAAGAACAAAAAATATTACATGGTCACATATCGAAGGTCTAATAAGTAAGAGATCATCAAGTTTATGAACTCCGATTTATTGGAATATGGATGCACAATTTTGTCACATGAACTGCTAATTATGGATTGATAAGAAATATCACTTGAGTTATTTTGTGACAACTAAGTTGTAGTCCTTTATTCTATATACAATAGAAACACCTTAATTCTAAGCAAATAAACATTATGTTTCTAGTTGTTAAAGAAAATTAAGAGTAATTATATGTTTATAGACCATATTGGTACAAACTCATGATTGCACGCTTACTAAGGAACTGTCACCCAAAGTCTTTCATGAGTACACTACTCATGTGGGTGTAATATCATTTAAGGTTGCTTTGATCCTATATGGATATAGATGATGAAGAGATTGTTATAGAATATCTATTACATAATAACAAATCTTGAGCTCATAAGATTATACATTTATCAGGAAACATATGTTGCCTAAGAGGGAGATTGTTGGATTAATATCCATAATTATGGGTACATATTATGTATATTGTTATCATAAAACATGACATAAATTAAGTGACCAATTATGTTATAAAAGCAAGGTATTATAAGTGTCATAGAAATAAAATTGTAGATACTATTAAAGTTGTATTTATAATTCTATAATGGGCAAAGTTATAAGTACAAACAATAACTAATATTTAAATCAACTATATAAAGGGGTTATGGCCCCCAAGAAATAGATTAATCTCGTATTTACTCTTATTCCCGTAAAAGAGTTTATACTCAAGAGAACTCTATCTTCTTGGAAGATCACAACCAAAGAAAGATTCAATGATTTCAACCCATCAATTAATTCATGTATGCTTCCACTTCTACTCTTTTTATTTTTGATGATTTGACATGATTAGATTATAGTTATTTTTCATATTTATTATGGTATGGTTCTAACAATTATATCAAGGTAAAAGTGTTATTTGAAATCGTTATTGTAGAACCGTGATACCCACATTTATCATAATAGTATCCAGAGATGGACTTAGAGTGTATGGTCGCATCCCTAGAAATTTTAAATTCTCTTATATTTTAGATTTTTTTATATTTTCTGTTGATTATTTAATTTCTGAAATTTTTAATATATATTTTTTAACTTTGTACCCCTTTCATAAATTCCAACATTCATCCCTCATAGCATTCATTATTATCACAATCATAATGAACTTAACAGCTTAAAGTATCCTAATTCATCCCTCATGGCATTCATTATTATTAGAATTATAATGAACGTAAAAACTTAAAGTATCCTCGTAACTGTAACTTAAATTCTTGAATGAAGTTGTCATTTGCGTAGGTTCTAGAGGAATAGAACCCAGCAACTAGAGGTACCAAGGTAAAGCTGCACGAAAAGAGGATGTGAGCGGCCAATTTTTCACAGAACCATCAGACAACATCGCTCAAGAAAGATTGAAACAATACATGATGCCATGAATAAATATTAATTAGTTTTACTTATTTATTCATTAAAAATTAAAACCAAAGTTACTAATTAATTAAGCGCGGTCGACACCATATATTTGTTTTCCTTTTCAAAATACTACTCATTTATTGTGCTTGGAACAATTTGATTATGAAAAAAATTAAATAAGTGCTATTATATTCTTTTATATGTAAACAAAGTATTTATACCCATTAAACTTTCATGTTTAGTTTTAAATTTTAAAATTTGTAAAATTTTAGTTTAATTACGATAAGAATAGTTCTACTTCTCAAATTTAAATATCACAATATTTAGTAATTTGTCAACATAATTTATTTTCTGTAACCTTTAGATAGTGCTAAAATTAAAATCGAATCTCAAGTAAAAATAGATTGATAAAGGAAGAAAAGTTTAGTAGAGAAATAGAGGGTTTGAAGCAAAGAATTGGGTTCACCTATTTGGTTGCCATTAATAAAAGATTACAGGAATGAAACTTAAACCCTAACCACCGTCCATCTCTTTTGCTTTCTTGATTCTTGGAATTATTCGAATGAAATAAAGGTTTTGTCCAATATTCAACAAAGATTTGAGGAGATAATTAAAACCAAGTTAAAATCGTTGGAATACGACTTAAAAAGATTAATATTTTTATTGATGTAGTGCTGTTTTTACATGCTTTTTGTTTATATTATTTGGTTTTAATTTTTATTTAATTTTATATTATACTGGAAGAATTTATACAGAAAAATGTTTTAAAAACAATTATAATTAAATAATGGTATAATTTACATATTGTGATATTTAAATCAAATGCTTCGATTCAACCTTATCACTTCACCCAACCATTTTATCATTTTTTAAATAACAAAGTTTTTCTTATAAAAAATTATTGTATAATAATTTTAAATATTATTTAATAATTTATAAAAACTTTGATTTTTGTGCGTAAACGTAACCTACCAACTTAGGTAGTCTTTTTTTTTAAGTTTATTTTAAAATTAAAATAAATATAAGTTATATAATTTTAATAATTAATAAAATATAATATTAAATATATGTTAAAAATTCTTATAAAAGAAAGAAATTGTAATTGAAAAATCTAAAAAAATTATAAAATTAAAATAGGGTAAATACAGTTTATTAGATCCAATATTTCATGTATAAACAAATGAATAACTCTTCAAACAAAATGTTACAGAAAGCCGGGCCTAATCCTAAAAAAAATTGTGCTGATCATCTTTTTCTTCAACATATACTCTCCGGTCATCAATGATCCATGTGCATGTTTCAGAATGATCGAACGACATCTATGAGAGTTGTGATTGGTGATGAACAAAGGGTGGGAATAATCTGTTTTTCTTAATATTTTTCTTATTGATAATCTAATTTCGTGCTTAAAATTATATAACTTAATCTCATAATCTATTACAAATTTATCCGTAACATAAAATTTATGTTCATCATGATTATGACTTGGATGGAAACATTGCCTTGAGTTGATTATACCTTCGGATATCGAAATTGTAAGCCTGGATGAGCTGGTTTTGTTTTGTGGTGAACCTGCTCTTAAAGAACCCCTCGAAAGAAGGTTCTGTTGATGTCCTGAGGAAAAATGCATAGGCAGCTATGAAATACATGGAAGTGAGGTAGAAACAAAGGGGTTCCATCACGTCCCATGTGAGTTCCCAGAATGTTAGCCTCATGAACCCTGCTGTTTGAACCACCAGGAAAGCCAGTCCCAGCCGGAGTTCTCGTTGGACCATCGATTCGGCTTTCGAATCGATGGCTGCTTTCTTCTTCTCAAACTCCATCAGCTCTTTTCTTCTGGGATCATTCGGGATTGTTCCGGGTAATGGAATTAAACCTCCCAGAGCTTTTGCTACCTGTTCGGATCGTAAAACGACGACGTTTCCTAAGACGATGACGTTTCCTGTTTCATCTAGCAACTTGGCGTACTGCAATCCTTGTTCTTGATCCGAACAACTTTCTGCGCAAATCGGAATAAAGTCCGAATACGGTATCCAGTTTTCCCCGGTCTCCCTCAACTTCGATTTCACCACCTCCAAGTGAGCCACCCTTAACAATTTTTTAGCTTCCTGAGCCGGTGTCGCTTCCAAGACCGGGACCAACCAGTCCAGCCGGATGTGATCCCTAGACATATCCATTCCCATTAAATTATCCCCAATCGGTAACTTCCTAACCGCAGGTAAGGCCATAGCTCCTTTATGAAGAAACCGCCTGAACATGCCATTGCTGTTACACTTACAATCTTCTGAATCCACCGTCATAACGCTTGTTTCTTTCCCCGGTTTTTGTGACATCCGGTTCTGAACCGCCGGTGAGGAAATCCGGCAGTTAGTAAGAACTTGCGAAGAAATTTTCGAAATAGTGCAAAGCTTCTCCGCCAAGGTTTTCCTCAACGCCATTGCTAGAAATTAAAGAAACTTTATTGTATTATTATTGTAAAGATGAGGTGTTGAGGATTTAAAAGCTTTTGCTCGTTTGGTATTGGCACAATCAATGGAGGTTTTGGCCCTGTTTTATAGGGTTCAGCATTGGAGGAAGATAAACATATACACGTGGCTGGTTAAGCTTGAGAGTATTAGTCACATTCGTATATATGAAAAATGACCTTTCCTATGTTGACTTTCAACGTAACCACACTTTTATGCATAAATGAAAGGGCATAGTACGTATTTAGTAGTGCAATTATCATGTTAGATTTTTTTAGTTATTCGTTGTTAAAAAATTAATTAAATTATAGATGTGATATTTTTTTTATTTTCTTAATAATAAGATGATATTTTTTTTTTGATATGTTAACATTATTATTAATTTTTTTAACAAATAATGATCAAAATGAAACTTAAATATATAATTAATGATGAATTAAAAAAAATGTTGAATGGTCAATCGAAATTAAAGTGATAGTTAAATGATTAAATATGTAATTTATTAAAAAGAAAATTATTATTTACCAATTTGTTTAACACGTGTAACGATGTTAGCAGAAGAAATCTAGAAGGTTTCAATAAATATAATGGATAGGGGTATTCTACAATGCAACATTCTTATTAAGGTTAAAATAAAGTGCTATCGGTTTTATTATTATTTAAATAATAAAATTGGTAAAAAAAATTAATTAAAATATTATTATTTTTATCTAAAACATCAATATTTTTTAATATTTCCGGTAAAGCTTCCAATAATAATAAAATCAGTAAAAAAAATAAAAAAATCGATAACGCTTTACTAAATTCGGTAAAATACCCAATAATAAAAAAATTGATAAAATTAATAATATTTCCAATAATTTTTTATTAATTTTATTATTTAAATAATAATAAAACCTATAATATTTTTATTAACTATATATTAAAACTGTCGTACGATATCATTTCCATATATGATTACATGGGAAATTTTCTGTGTCTTTGACGGCAAGCAAGAGAAAACGGGAACAAGTTTCTTTTTGGGTGTTGAGCTGATGATGATTACGTCCACACAAACGTGTCGCCACATATGTTTGGTTATTTTGTAATAAATCTCCTTACTTGTTTATATTTGAGAAAGGGAGGAACAATCTAATTTAATTTAAGGAATAACTTAATTTAAAGTTAAGGAATAACCATGAATGGTCGTAATTAAAAATATTTTTTAAAATTATAATATTTTTTGTTTGTTGTAATTTTTTAATATTTTTCAATTAAAAATGTTATATTTTTTATGATATTTTTATATTGACAAACGAAAATATTATTTTTTATAATATTTTTAATTAAACCGAAAATAGCATGAAAGAATTAACATTTTAAATTATATTCAATTAAAAGTATTATATTTTTTATCACATTTTTAGTTATATCAATTTTTCTCCAACCTTAAATCAGACTACCCTACAACAAAACCAACCTTTGCTTTCACGCAATTTCTCGAAAAAGTTTCTCTTTCTTTTTCTTGGGGCGAGAAAATATATGTCAATGAGTTGATTAATACGACTGCCGCTTGGTTGAAACTACTTAGTTAAATAGCTATTAATATTTCATGGTTAAAACTATTTTGAAATTTTCATTTTCTTAATCTCATTTTTTTCACGTTTAAACATCATTATCCTATTTTCTAGCTTATGACTGATTCTAAAATAAATCCCTCCCAAGCGTTGTAATCCAACCATATCCTTTTGTTACTAGGATATTTGTTCTGTCTTCCATAGTAATTTACGATAATTTTATATATTTAACAATTATATTATCACATTTTTTTCATATTCTAATTTTCTATATCAATTATATAATGATTAAAGGTATTCATATTTGATCTTGTCACTAGGTTAATACTCATTTTATGTTTAGAATTCTGGCCATCGGACATGAAGTTTCATATTTAATATTTTTCAATTATTGATATTTAATTTATTAATTAATTTTAATAAAATATTGTAAGAATTTATTATGCATTAATCTTTTTAATTTAGTTTACTTTATTTACAATGTTAATACTCCACTTTTAATAATTAAAATTATTTTCATTATCTATTCAAATAAAACTAAAGAAATCTTAATGTTTAAGACAACTTCAGAAATAGCGGCTATTTTGAGGAAAATCAGAAACTAAAGGTGTTGTGCTTAGATTTATCTATTTTGGTCAAATGTTGTTTGAATTGGGTCATAACCAAATTTTATTATAGCTCAGATAAGTTTTTTGAATTCAACACTAATTTATAAGACAATATAAAATAAGAACTTTATCCATCACGTGTTAAATGTTTTATTTTATAAAAAATTAGTACATATTTTTCTGAATAATTCAAGCCATACACCTACTTGTCAACTTCCCGTGTGAAGAGGGAACAACAATACTAAGTTATGAATTGGATTGAAATCGAATTTTAATTAAGATTATAAATTTATTGCCAAAAGCTACACATATTTCGATTCATTGAATTTAAAAATGGGTAAACACCAAACTATGGGATTGATGTCTATAATACCCATTTTTACTCGGGTTACCTATGGAGCCCAAAATCAAACAAAATTATAATTAAATATCAATGTCCGCTTACTATCCAAATTAGAAGTCCAATATTAAAATAACCTTGTTGACCCAATACACAAAATGGTCTAATGGCTCAAAATTTAAACAAAACAAAGAAACCTTAGATCTAAGCGGGTTACCAGCCACCAAATATCAACCGTCAGATCAGAAGAAGATCTGACGATCCATATTTCCCTATACATTTGTTTCTAAGGTTGAGGTGAAACCCTAGTCACCAGTTATAGTGCCGCTAGTGTCACATTCGTTGGATCTAGTCATGATCCAACCATCCGCTAGACTCATCGACTCGCTCACACGCCATTTATGATTCCTCAGCTGTGACGCGCCCCAAAATTGGTTCCCCCTCCGTTCGTGCAAGCCTTTGTTGTAGCCTCCTCTGCCATGTCAAAGACAAATGACATGGATTTTATTCACATGAAACTCTAAACATGATAAGAGAACGTTTCTAAACTCAAGCAAAATCGATGGGGAAACATTGCTCATTTCCACTCGTCTCAAATGCAAAATAAATCAAAGAGGATCTTCATCTTTACATTTCTTATTTTTAATCTCAGTTATTTAGTTACAATTATTCAATTATCTTAAATTTATATCGATGGAAAACGTTGATCATTTTTACTCGTCTCACATGCAAAAATAAATCAAAGAAAAAAAATCAAAGAGAAACTTTTTTTTAAAATTTTCTTTCGAAATATATAAAATTATAATCCACTTACATAATTTATAACTATTTAATTTTATATAAATTTAAAATCGTTAGATATGTGAAAATAAATAGTTAAGATTAATTTCTTATTTTTTCAATAAATATATATATATATATTTTTTTTATTTTCAGTTATTTATTTTTATTCATACAAGTCTTAAATTTGTATAAAACTAAAATGGTTTCACACACAAACAAGAAGAAAGAAGAGGTGCTTTTGGAAAAGGAAAAGTATCAGAGAATATATCCAAAAAAAAGAAACCTAAAACATTTCTTACCTTCTTACAAAAACTCTCTTCGTTTTCTTCATCGGAGCTACACGATCCTGCGCCTGTCGAGAGTAACTCCTATTCTCATCTTAAGTTTAAGGTTATCGTTGTGAGGTTAGGGGTCAAAAGGGAATTTGTGTAAAAGCTTTTAGGGTTCGAAGAACCTAATTTTAGGATTTAGGTTTCAAAATGAGTGTTTAAGGAGTTGTGTTCCTTGTCATCAGTGTTGATAAACGACCCTGAGGTTGGGGTGTTATTCGTGTTCTCTCAAAGGAGGGGGGAGAAAGTAGAGCTTTCTTTGAGTAAGAGAGGCGAAGAGATTGAGAGATGAAAGAAATGAATTTTTAAGGTTTTGAATCCTAAAATGAGTTATATGCCATTATTATAACGTCGTCGTTGAGGGTATTATTCTGACCCGCCTTTCGGGGCTAATGTTGTAAGGGCTCTGCCTATTTTAAGATATGCATTTCAGTTCTCAAATCAAGGTTTTAAAATTCCTAATCTAGTTCCTTTAATTTACGTTTATTACATTTCAGTCCATTATGCTTGTTTGTTAATACTTTGCCACTGTTTATATTCGACATACTATTTTAACTTCATTCATTTTAGTCCCATATATAGTTTAAGGTTTTATTATGATTCTAGTGCCTTTTTCGTGATATTTGCATGTTGATCTGGGTAGGGGTGTGCATTATTGGATATAGGATATTATCCGATCCGAATTTTTGGTATCCAAAAATTTTGGATACCTAAAATAATGATACATATCCAATATAAAAAAATTGGATATCCAAAAATTCGAATAACCGAAATTTTAGATATGATATCCAAATAATCGGATCTGAATCTGATTTTTTTTTGCAAAAAATACAAAAAAAATTAACAGAAATTAAAATATTCATATTTTCTTGTTTCCAACATTTTGTTTATGTAATTACATGCCCCACTACAATTAAAATTTTAAATAACATAGTACAATAAAATAATCCCCTAAATGTTAAATAGCATAAAGTAATGTACATTAACAACACAATAAACCAACACAAGATGTTCAAAATAAAAATATTACATAAGAGTATCAGTCTCAAATCAAAACAAGATCTTCAAATTAAAAATACCACACAAGAGTATCAAATCTCAACAACACAATAAAATCAACACAAAGTGTTCAAAATAAAATACCACACAAGAGTATCAAGTCTTAACGACATAATAAAAAAGATAGTAGGATCACTAAGTAATTCAAAATTTCAAAGTACAAATTTTACAAATCATCCAAAGTATTAATTGTCTCGTCAATTATGATCTCCGGTTGCTCTAAAGTTAGATCCTTCATGGCTACATCACACCAAATAAAATAAAAAAATTAAAATATACATTTATGTTTAAACTTTAAATATTGAATAAACAAAAAAAGAAGCAATCAAAAGTAAAAATAAACTTACCTTCCTCCAACTCTACCAAGGCAATGAAACTTTTCTCTATTGTAATAAGCGACCAAGAGGTGCATAACCAATCTTGAGTGCAAACAAGTGCTTCAATCATTTTTGGAGTCAATGAAGTGCGAAAAGAATCAAGGACACGACCCCCTATACTAAAAGCGGACTCAGAAGCTACACTCGAGATAGGTATGGCAAGCACATCTTTAGCCATCCTATGAAGAATCATGTATCTTTTTAGTTGATCTTTCCACCATTGTAGGATATCAAAATTTGAAACATGAGACTCACAAACATCTTCTAAATACTTCTCCAATTCATTTTTTTTGGCACTAGTTAACAAACAACACGTATCCCTTTGAAATTTTGAAGCCATAAGTTGTTGAAGGACACTCCACTTTGAGTCCCACCTTGAGTGAAATTAGATAAAGAAGTAGAAGTGGAGGAAGACATATCACTTGTCTTTGAAGGAGGCATTGAAGAAGCATATGAGTCAAATAAAGATTGCAAAATCATCATAATTTTGAGGCATAAAAGAGTGGCTTGTGTTTCATCATAAGAATCATGCACAATCCAATTAACATAATTCAACATGTGCCTAGAGTCAAGGATCACATCCACAAACATCATAATATTGATATTATCAATGTTCCCATAATACTTTTCATAATTAGACATCATTTGGGCTGTCATTTTCTTAATACCCTAATCATCATCACTTATGTTGGAAATCATTATTCTAATCACGTAAATGTGCATAATGATTACAAGTCACATAACGAGAACCAGATAACCTCAATGTTGCATCATAAAAAATGCTCAAGAAAGGTAAAAAACTACTCACCCTCTTCCAATCATCTTCAATGGGATCACTACCAACATTTCTAAGTTCCTTGAAACAAGAAGAATATTTCATGTATAAACTAGCAAATGCCTTTTTAAACTTGATAGCATATTCGAGCATTAGGAAAGTTGAATTCTATCTAGTCTCAACATCTAAAGTAACAAGACTTTTGCTATCCTCTTTCTCCTATTCTATGCAAGTTTTAAATTTTTGAAGTCTAGTGGGAGAATATCTAACATGTCTCACAAGAGTTCGAACTTTCATAATGGATAAATCAAGTTCTTTCAAACCCTTTTTCATAATCAAATTCAAAATATGGGATGCACATCTCATATGTAAATATCGACCCTCCAATAAACTAGACTCCCAAATGGTAAGTCTTCTTCTCAAGTATTCAATTGCTAAATCATTTGAGCTAGCATTGTCTATGGTTCCAGTCATAATGTTTTTCAAACCCCATTCAATATAACATTTTTCAACAACTATGTCAATAAGTTGTCCATAATGACCAGCAATTAGACAAAAATTAATTATTCTCTTATGCAAATTCCATTCATCATCAATAAAATGGGATATCAAACACATATAGCTTAAATTTTGACCCGATGTCCAAGTGCATGTGGTTAGACAAAATCTAGAATGTAAGTTCTTAAAAGTCTTTTTCAACTCATTTCTTTGTTCAATAAAAAGAGCATAACAATCTCTAGTGGCAGTTGTACGAGAAGGAAGCTTAAAGAGAGGATTTAAAGCCTTGCAGAATTCAATGAAACCTTCACGTTCGACAAAAAATGGTAATTCATCCACAATAAACATTTTAGCAAGCTTCTTCTGAACAAATAATGATCAAATTTACAGTATTTTGGAACACTAACTATTTCAATAATTCCATCTTCATTTACCAACGTTTCACTTTCAAAATCAATCATTTTTGTTTCTTATCTAAATTTGGAGGATATTTTTTCATCTACTAATATGATTTGCAAAAGGTGTAGTGCCATTTTTGGTTTTACAACCAATAAGTTTTTGACAATACTTACAGGAAGTAAAAGTATGATCCTACTCCTCAACTGAAAAATGACTCCACCACTTGGACTTTCTCTTCCTATTTCCGGTAATTTTTATCGACAAGAGATTTTTTTGCTGCTGAATTTTGTATTTCTTATTCATCAGAATCCATCATCGAGTCAATAAATAAGGAATTAACATCTCAATTCTCATCAAAAGATGACATATTCTGTAAACAAGCAATAAAATATGTCTAAATAAAAAAACATATGCATTACAAAATATAATTCTATATTACATAATATATGCATTACATTTCAATTTTTATATATTAAATCAAAAAATCTGGTTAGTTATTTCACCTCTAAAAGGTTAAAGAAAGTATGGTTACGGTGCATTCAACTTTAATATAATTCTTTCACCTCTAATTCTGTTTTACAAAATGTATGCATTACATTTCAATTTTTATATATTAAATCAAAAAAATGGTTAGTTATTTCACCTTTAATTATATGTTACAAAATATTTAACAATGGTTACAGTGCATTACATAATATATTAAAACAACCCAAATGTATAGCTTCATTACCAACTTTTAATTCGGTTAGTTATTTTATCAAACATGTTGAGTTAATCGATCGATGGAATCGACCAAGAGGGGGGTGAATTGGTAATTAAAATTTTGGTGGAATCTTTTGCAGAAAATTGAAAGTAATTGCACAGTGATTTAGAGTGGTTGACTTTCTCAACCAAAGTCTACGTCCACTACCTTAACTATCCACACTAAGGATTTTCCAACAAATTCACTAATTTGTTCTTTCTTTTGAGGCCAAAGAGATAACCTTACAACTCCCTCAAGAATATACCCCAATTCTTGAGAATACTCTTTCTCAAAGAGAAGATTACAAATTTGCAAACTTACAAGGAAATCCTCACAATGTAGATTGTTTGCACAATTCTAGAATAAAGAAAGAACACTCACGAATGAATACAATTGAGTACAAGAAGTGTTCTTGAAAGCAAAATGAATATTGAATGAAAAAATAGGCTTGAAATGCTCAAACAATGAGTTTGATGCTTTCTCTTTGATTCACTCTTGATTCTTGTTTCTTGTTGTTGATCAATGGCTTCTAATCTTGTTTAAATACTCCTTCAATTGATTCTGAACGTTGGGGATAATAGTGGAGTCAATAGAGCCGTTTAAGTGTGAAAACAATTAATAAAATCAGTTGGGAGTGTCAGTGCATCGATGCATACATAAGGTGCATCGGTGTATCAAGTGCAAAATTCAAATATTTTGACCGTTGGAACACTTAGTGCATCGGTGCACTAAGTGTGCATCGATTCATAAAATGCATTTGATGTTTCAAAATAGCTTGAGTGCATCGATGCATGTCTTGTGCATCAAATACATTCGATGTTTTCATAAAACCCTGAGTGCATCGATGCATGGTATATGCATCGAAGCATAAAATGCATTCGATGTTCAATTTATTCATTGGTGCATCGATGCATGGATTGGTGCATCGGTGCATTCCTTTGAAAATTGATTTTAGGCTTGATTTTGGTTCAAAATACTTTGTAAAAAATTGTTTCAAAAATATATTAAGTATAACACACAATTTTACACATTTAGTAAGATTCAAAATTGATCTTGAAAGACTTGGAGTAATAATTTGATATTCGAGTAATTAAATCAAATATACTTAGAAAATCATTTGTAAAATCTTAAAATTCATTTAACTTAATTTGTTATATCGAAACATCAAAATGTTTTCAACAATCTCCCCCTTTTTGATATAACAAAACATTTGTGTAATTTTAAGATTTTCTTTGAAAATAAATTTTGAAATCAAGTTTGCAAATTACTCCCCTTTAACACTTTTTCCCCTTTTTTGTTAAATCAAAAAGACTCTAAAACGATTTTAAACAAGGATTTGAAAAACTTAGCCAAAATGTTTTTAGAAACTTAAAGTTTCAGCTGCTAAGATCAAAGATCAAGATAAAGGTTAGCCATTAGTTTTCATAAACAATATTCATAAGCATGTAATGGATAATTGGTCATATATGTCTAATGATGCAAAAATAAGTATTAATAGCAAAAAGAAAATTCAAACCAAACATATATATATATATATATTAAGACTTAATATCCAACACAACCAAAATATAAATTCAAACATCCAACAATCAAAGTAAAAGAATCCCAAAGCATTCAAAATGTTTTAACAAGAAAAGTTCTAAGTTGATCCAAAGCAAAAACAAATCAAGGTCTACTCGTCCATAGAAGGATCAGAAGAAGGAGGAAATCGTGCTTGCATCTCAAGAGAAAGAGCATCCATACGTGCAAGCATCTGCCATTGAAACTCCATTTGTTGAGCTTACAAAGTGGCTAAGCGATGATTCACCGCTTCGTTGTTAGCAGTCAAATGGGATTTTATGGAAGCAAACCGTAGATCAAATGTCTCAAAAACGAACAAAAATATGGAGGCACTTGATCCTCTTGTGGTGCTGGAACATTGTCGGGATCGTCAATGTCTTGAAATAATCCTTGAAGCTCGGGATCATCATCTGCAGTCGGTGCCGGAGGAGGAGGAGGACGAGAAGAGCTAGGAGCATCTCGTTAAGAACTAGCTCCCAGAGTTTGTTTATTGGGTCGAAGGACCCATAGACCAGTTTCCTCGTCCTATTTCGAATCAGCTTTCTTCAACGAGGTGAGATTGATTTGGGTTTGGAGAGGAATGAGATTGTCAAGAGAGACGTTAAGACCGAGTTTGATAAAAAGGTTACTAAGTAGACATCCATAAACTAATGTTTTGATATGTTTTGAAGGAATAATGTTTATGGTATCCACTAGCTCACTAAATATAATGTTTGGCAAATTTATTTTGTTCTTATTCTTGAGACAGTTCTCCACCATAAATCCCTAATACGAAGAGTGGAGTACCTACCTCCGGATGGTCTAAACCACCAAGAGATCATCAAATGAATAAAACGGTTGTGATGAGATCGTAGAGTACTAACACTAGCATTTGGAACATAGGGATATTCCACAGTTTCTTTCTCATTATATAACCCATTATCATCTAGCTCAAATTTCCTAGCAATAGACTCGGAATCAATATGAATA